CGTAAAAAGACAGTATAAGTCATTATAATCCGTAATTATGTCCCCACTGGATGCAACAAATGCCTCGTTTATAATGGGTTTTAATGTTTTTGTCTCGTTGCTCCGGCCGGACAGTGCATCACAATCTGGTAAGGGGCATAACATTTCCGTCACACACTTGAGGTATTCAGCCAATCACAACGCACTGGATAGCTGGCCAATCAGAGCACACCTCGCTTTTCAGACCGATGAGCTTTGTAAAAATCGACGTGTTTCAGAAAGGCGGGGCATAGAGGAGAAACAATGATGTAAAGTATGTGGAAAATACTGTGTTTTTTGAACCTTAAACCGCATAAACATTTCATTACACCAAATACACAAAATAATGTTCTTTTTAGCAACATCATATGACCCCTTTAAATACATTTCCATCTGATAATACAATTTAACTACATTTATCTGGCACAAAACCCAACAATAATCTCAATTAGGGTAACATAAATCTACAATAAAAATTAATAATGAAACATGCTAAATTCTTTAACAGACTCAAAACCAATGATGCACAACAGCAATTGGCTACAAAATACCACACAAGGACTACACATTGGACCTTAAATAAGTAATTCATTTTGGTATATTGAAGTTTGTGGTTGCATTTTGTTTACAATTTTCTTTAAAAGAAGTTACTTATGCATACAATGTCTGCATTTATTTGGTAAAACAGTAATATTGTAAAATATTATTACCATTTAAACAGTTTTCTATTTTAACATTTTTAATTGATTTATTCCTGTAATGGCAATTTCAGCATCATCACTCCAGTCTTCAGTGTCACATGATCCTTTAGAAATCATTCTAATATGCTGATTTGCTGCTCAAGAAACATTTCTTATTATTACCAGTGTTGAAAACAGTTGTGCTTCTTTTTTCTGCAAAGGGTAATACCTTTTATTCAGGATTCTTTGATTAAGAAAGGTCAAAAGAATTTATTTGAAATAGTAAAGACATTTATAATGTTACAAAAGATTTCACTTTTGATCAATTAAATGCATCCTTGCTGAATAAAAGTATTCATCTCTTTAAAAAGAAAACAAAAAAATCTTACTGCCCCCAACTTTTGAACAGTAGTATAAATAAAATAGTACACTTTTGATAATTATGTGAACTGTCTGAATGAACTAAATCCTTAAAAATGAATGACTACTGTACTACTGTACACACCAAAAGAACGGACAGTTTAGGAGAGCGCATTTGAGTTAAATTAGTAGCGTCAGCAGGTATAGTTAAGTACTCCCACTGATATACAGACTTTATCATGGCACATACCTGAGATTTTTCCATCTGTGCTTTGTTCTCAATGTCAGCCATCTTCTCTTTCAGTTGCTCCAGAGAGTCTTTCTCCTGCTGTAGCTGAGCCATCTCCGAATCCTGCTCGCCTTCCAACAGAGCGCGCTCCACTTCCAACTAAACACACACACAAACTTGTACTACATTTTTTACTCAATCTAAAGTTCACTGTCACTTACAGTAACTACTGCAACAATTTCAATGATTTCGTGGCAAACAGTGGTGTCATGTCACTACGATCTGGACTACCTAGAAGGTGCCTCATTTCACACAAATAAAAAGAGGCCCACGTTCTAAACCCATAAAAGCCCAACCTCATAAAACTAGAGCACAACACTGACATTCTGGGTTTACTGAATGGGGCTGTAATGGAACAGCTGACTTAGCAGGAACTGCTGGCTCAAGACTAACCTACCTACGTAACATTAATCAAGAGATGGGAATTTCTGCTTTAAGGCCAACTTCGCAATAGCTTTCTCTTGTGCTTTGGACTTTATGAACAACTTTGCAGTGTCTACTGTAAGAGGGCATAGAAATAGGATACGTTCTTATGTTCAAAACCAACTTGACAGGGTGAAAAACAATGGAACAGAAGCAATTTGCAAGAATCAAGACACCATCAAGTAGGCCAGATAGAAAAAAAAAATGTCAGCTAAGCTCTTAAAAATATTCTTTACAGCCATCTATGGTTCCATGAAGAACCTTTAAATTCCATGCAACCTTTCCATTGCACAAAAGGCTCTTTATAATGAAAAATGGTTCTTTAGATTTTTAAAATATTCTTTATTTATGTTCTAAATTTACCTAGGCCTCCTAACCTCGGTAGATTGTTATGGAGAGAAAAGAACAAAAAGGAGAAATGAGGATGACAGGAAGGGAAAATGTATTACAGTGGAGGAGCATTAAAATATTGAAATCGAATCAGGAATGAAGTGCATCATTTAAAGGGAAAAACAGAGAATATGAGGCTTTAAGTGAAAGTAAAACAGATTTATTCTTGGCAGTTCAGACCTCCATGTCTAGCTGTGGTCCTCATCACAGCTCCTGATTACTTTGCCACATGCACAACTCTCCCACACAAACACTCTCCCTTCGCTACTCCCACCATCCCAGATCTCTCCCACTTCCTCCATGACCTGATGTGTCTACTGTACCTCTCTGATGGACTCCTCCATCTGGTTGTTCAGGTCTTTGATCTTCAGCTCTAACTCTTCCATATTGTTCAGGACCTGGATCCTCTCCTCCTCTATACGTCTCGCGTCCAGCTTCAGCTGTGTGTCATCCTCAGCAGTCTGCTGAAGACACGATAATGTAAGCAACCACACAACTATACTGAACAATGTAATAAGTAAAATACATAAAAGACATTAGGTCAGTTTAAAATCAAAATGATTGAGTCAGCGCCAATAGCCTCGTGGGCAGTGCGCCGACATATAGCGCCATTGCGCTTTGGGCGTCCCAAGTTTGAGTCCCGGTTCGTGGACCTTTCACGACCCTGCCCCCCTCTCTCTCCCACTTTGCTTCCTACCTAAATACTGTCCTATCCTAATAAAAAAAACAGTCTCTTATTAGGTTTTGTATTGGTTAGGATGCTTTCTTAGAAGTTAGCTGCCTATGTAGACAGCAAAAAGCAGGGCAGCTCACTAGGCTTTGAAACAGAGCTATCATGTGCATTTTGTCCCCATTTATTTCAGCTGCTATTAGTGAATGTTTAACCTTCCAAGCTTAACTTATTAGTAATGCTGGGTTTTGAATTGATTCCTAATGCTACATTTAGAACTGGCCTAGATGGCAATGCTAGTAGTGTAAAGCCCTTTAATGCAAGCCATCTAGAGCATGGACATGCCCCCTTCTGGCAGCTGCTCAGATCTTTAGCTCTGAGAAACAGGATTCACTGAATGAACACCAACAGTGATGAATGGGTTCAACGTAAACTTCGAGGAACAGAGGGGCGGCTCCATTTCCTAAACCAATTATTTATCTAGGTTTTCAATATCCGTGGAAGGTGATCTGCTTATTTTGAGTTTTATAAGCAAAAAGTTGACCTTTGACCTGGAAGATTCCACATGTTTGTGCATGTATGATTAGGACAGCACATATGGGTGAGAAGACTGCCATTCTTCCACTGTGTGAGGCAAAGATTGACCAAACACAATGCGCATGACCCTGTTATATTTGGACAGTGATGTTTATATCTGCTCATCACAGTTTATACTATGGAGGGCACAACTCTGAGTTGCTTCAGCTGTTTCTGTGTGGGCTACAAGAGAGAAAGAGGGCCAATACAGATTTATAGTTTCTATAAACTGGTTTCCAAGGCCATTTTGTGTTCTATTGCGTATACCTTTAGATGGATAAATAACAGAACCAAAGCATGACTGCTACTCCTGCGCAGTAGACTAATTACATTAGCCCATACAGGAGTTGAAGGGAAGACTCCTTGAATTCCTTCTTGGATTAAAGTGTGCGTGAGGTTGTGTGCATGCCAAGGAAGGGTGGGAAACTCTTATAACCTCTCCAAAAGGTCACAGGAATTAGCAGTATGGAAAAGGACTAGCTTTACATATGATTCAGTTACCTAACAAGATTAAAACACACACTGCACACAGAAAACACTTCATGCATGAAGCCATAATGGAAAGCAATCAAAGTATAGCTGAAAGTCATCTGACAAGCGCAGACAATCAACTATACTATACTATAATATAAGGAAATGCTGACATGGACATATACTTTAAACAATTTATTGAATTTTACAAATGAAAATATTAATATATATTAGACTAATTAAATTGTAATTTAACAGTCGAAAAGAAGTATATTACTACCATTGCACATATTTATAATATAAAAAATGCTGACAAAGAAATATACTCTTTAAAATATTTTTTCAATTTAAAAATTAAGATTATTATAATATATCACTTATTTGTAAATTAAATAAATAGTTTAAAAGGAGAAATTAAAATTACAGAAATTTATAATATAATATAATATAATAATGAAAACATGGAAGAAACAAAATATACAATTATTTAAAATATGTATTAAATTTAAAAAAATTACATTATAAATTCCTGAAATTATCATACACTTATTTATTTTACAAATATTTATTAAATTAAACTTATTAAAATCATAATATAATAATATACAAGTACATTTTTATTAAATGAATAGTTTAAAAGAGTATTACCATTCCAGCATAATATAATATAATAAACATTTGTAATCAAACAGTTTAATTAGAGTACATTTCAATTTCAGCAATTTTTATTTAATATTACAGTATCTTAAATATAATCAGTGGCCCAAAAAAGTATTTGAAAAATTAAAAAGTTTTGATGCAATGCAAATGCAATGATTGTTAACCAAATGGTCCCATGGTGATTTTTAGTAGATGCATGAAGTCAGTTCCTCTCATTCATACACTTCTAAGAGTAGCTTAAGTGGCTTAAGACAAGCTTTACCAATTACCTTTATTATCCGTGTCAGCCGAGGAGAAGGGGTGGGAGCGGAGCCAAGGACAGCCGTTTTCTCCGCCCTGGCTTCTCTGTGTCCACTATTCTTGCGCTGCCGTACCTGTCTCTCCTCGCTGGCCTGGGTCTCCTGGGCTTTAAGCCCATAGTTGTTTTCAGCAGAAATGCTGGCTGACAGACTTGCAGAGTCTGAGAACGTGGACTCATCATCTGACACCTGTAATTTCTCCAGCTCCTTGTTGATCTTCTGCAAGTCTGCGACGGCCAAGCCAGTTTTGTCCTGCTCTGCACGGCCCAGCCCGGAACACAGATTAAGGATAGTCTCCAGACGCTGACGTTCCTATGGATCAGACAGAGACAGTATGAAAAAAAATGCATATTCAGACACTTGCAGCATCAAAACTCACAATCAGACAGCTGGAGGAAATGATAAATTTGGAAACCTGTCTCACCTTTGAAATGCAAACAGATTTACCTGCAGCAGTTCTGAACATGTTTGTTATTTGAAGAAAACCCACTGCAGATATTTCACACTAATAGCCCATAGGTAACCTAAAGAAGAACATTACTGCTATTTCTCCAAAAAGGTCCAATATACAAACATCTTTGATTCCAAAAGCACCCTTGACAGCCCCAAACTGCGATCAGAGAAAGACCAGACGAAGACAACCAGGCATATACATCTAAAAACAACCCGGGCCATGAAGGAGTGCACTTGGCCTGAAAGAAATCCCTGTATTTATCGACTGATATGGAAATGCAAACAGCAAGTTCAGGCGAGCATTTCCAGAGCCAAGAAAAATGATCTCACTGGTTCATATAGCTGCGAATGAACAAACCGGCATGTTAACAGTTATTAAATCCATAAAGAAGATATTTCCTTGTAAATTGAAACCTGGTCCGCAAAACAAGCCCAGCATTTTTATGCATTCGCATGGCCCTATTCTTCAGAGTGCTCTACTCACCATATCAACGGATCCAGAGGTCAGAGGACACATGGTGACCTCACAGGAGAAGATCATGCCCTCATCAAAAAGATGACAGGTTTAGTTATGTTCCTTAGCACAGCACGTACAAATTACAGAGAGACATCAACGAACCAAGCCGGTGTCAGAAACACAAACCCTCTGATGGAAGGTTGATGAGTCAGTGGGAAGGGAGATTGCAAATAGAGAGAGAGAGGGGGAGCTCTCAGAAACTGGGCAGAGAGTGAAATTAGACCCAATAAAAACACTGCTGGCACTGGATGGGAAAGGATATACAAATAGGAACAGCGTGATTCAATCCTTCCGCTTTTATTCATGACACGCTAACAGCCCCAATGCAAGAGCGAAGGGTAAAACTTCACAAGATCTTCTCCCATAATCCTAATCAGTTTACATAAACTCTGTATCAGTGAAAGACCATTCTGTCAAATGATAGGATATTGCTTTGCGGTGTATTTATTCTTAATAAAATAAACATGATGTTATTTAAATCACTTTTCACATTATATAACCAGTGCTATTTATATCAAATGCATATGGTTCATCCAATGTTATTGTGATGTCCATGTCAAATAAACAAATAAATAATAGTTCTTAACATTTTGATCTAACTTTTATTTTCAGATTAATTCATTTTTTATATAATTTATTTAAATAAATTAATAAATCTATAAAAATTTTTAAAAAATTGTAATTTTAGTCATTTTTCAATTTGAGTAATTTTCTTATACGTGTGATTTTTATCATTTCTCTTTGAATATTTTTTTATTTATTTTTATTTCTGTTCCATTTTAGTACTTAAACTTAGTTGCTAAGGAAACTTTTCAAAATCTTCAAGTTTATTACATAATTGAATTTTATTTCAATTCACAAAAATGTTTTCAATAGTTTTAGGCTATTAAAAACACTTAATAGAACAGAAGTCAAATTTGGTTAGCAAGCTAGCAACTTAGACTATTAGCTTAGCATAGCTCTAACAGGTAATGAAAAGTTGTAGCTAGAACAAGCAAATGCAAATTTAATAGGGAACTGGAACAGGATCTTGCATGAGGAAAAAAAGCAGACAAAAAGCATCTCTGTCCACTGATAGCCATTCAAAGTCATTGGCAAAGCAATTCATATATTTGCGAGCGACGTATGAATTACCAGTAAATACATCTCAAATGCATGAAATTAACTTTTTTTACATAGATTTTTCCAATGCTGCTGCCATTTGGAAATGCTATTGGATAGTTTTCTCCCAATATTTTAGACCTCATTGGGCTCTGAAACAGAAAAAACAAAACAGCACATGCTACGCAACTGTGCCATCATGAAATGAGTGTGTGTTTTTTGGACATGTACAACCATGGCTAAAGTCTGTAATATTACATTCCTCTGAGAGTTTTTTTTTTTTTTTAAAGAAACCCAGTGAAAGTCTATGTGTGGATACGATTCTCCACCTGTAGCGGCCTTGTTTTCACTCAGTGCTGGCCTTGTAAAGATCACCAGCCTGTAGTTTTGGTGCTAACTAATGAGTGGGCAGCCTACGATGATGGTTTGGCCTCTGCCCAGCAGGGCGGCGCCACAGGTGGCCTCCCTTAACCACAGCGTGCAAAAACTCTGTTGCCTTTCATTTGAACGCCATTGAGAGCAGCTGAGAAGCAAGAATGGGGCATGTTAGCATGGGCAATTTGCCAGGATCATCTGCAGCTGTGGGTGGCCTCCCAGAGAGAGTGTATTCGAGAGGCCGGGTTCAATGAAAGTGGATGTGGTTCTGGGCTGTCGAGCGGTCTATTAATAGGAGGTTTATGCAGCCACACCTCTGCTTGGGTCTTCCACCGCATCCACTACAGAGAACCAGGGGCCTTCCTGCACATGGTGTGTTTGTTATAATCGAGAGGAATGCCAGAGCGCAAGTTTGGCGGGAAGATTAATTAGGCTGCAGGTGGTGTCCCCCATATCTGAGCTCCCACAAGATCCCATATTGCAAGAAGAGTTGAAATATCACAAGCTTTTAATGTGATACCCCCTTCACAATGAGAAAAGAAAACAGGGTCATGGAGGAGGAATGTTAAATATTCTAGATGAAATCAATCTTCAAAGTCATTTGTTCTTTATATTGGGTGAGTCTTAAGAAGAATGATATGCTTCTAAAGAATTATAATAAAAATGAAACAGATGATTGGACATGCAGATGTTTGAGTACTTCTATAATGATATGCATATTTTGTGTTAAAGTCAACATAAAACAGAATTTAAAACCCATTTTACTTGAAAATGTGAAATGTGAAATGAAATGTGACATATTTGTGCATTAACTAGGAGATTTGATGTGAAAAAAGTAGGGTGGGATCACTAGGAGTCATTAGGAATTGATTAGATTATGAAAGGTATTACAGTCACTACTTAATTACATTTTCATGCTGACTTTAAAGCAATACATCAACAACATTAAAGAGATAGCTGACCCAAAAATGAAAATTCTGTTATTAATTACTCACCCTCATGTCGTTCCAAACCCGTAAGACCTTTGTTTATCTTCAGAACACAAATTAAGATATTTTTGATGGAATCCGAGTCACAGAAACGTAGTAAGGACATTGTTAAAATAGTCCATGTGACATCAATGGTTCAGCCGTAATTTTATGAAGCTACGAGAATAATTTTTTAGTGCAAAGTAAACTAAAATAACTTTTTTCAACGGTTTCTTCTCTTCCGGGTCAGTCCGCCGCGATTCATGAGAACCAATAGCATGTTTAGGCACCACGCTATTGCATGGGGCCCCGCGGTCCAGGGAGGCCCCCGCGGAACGTGATTTCTTCCGATGGGTGTCGAGAACCAGCATTTTTTTGGACCGGTGCGTAATTGGGTCAATACCGGACTACTGATAAGCTTCAAGACAAACAATACTGTTATCGATACATGTGTTGTTTTATCTCCGTACTTCTGTGTTAATGGCGAATTAGAAACTGTTCTCATAAACCGATCTCAAGCTAATGACGCGCCTGCTGTAAGAGGTTTGGCATGAAATGCAGCGGCCTCAATCTCTGTCCGGCGTGGGTAAAATAATTGTTATGCTGAAGGTAAGGTAGAATTCATATTTCTTCATTAAATAACTTACAAAATAATTTGAAAACTTTCTGTGAGGTGATTATTAATTATTAGTTTGTAATTTTACAAACAGCACAAGTTCTTCACGAGCTCTCTGTCTTTCCCTCTCAAAATGCGCAAATGGCTTCATATCACCACATCGCGTCTGCACTATAAGCGAGCTGCACACTGCACGGTTGACACAGGAACGGTCACAGTTTACACGCATCGTCACTAAAGTTTATAATTTGCATTTCTTTTTTAAGTTTGGCCAGTATTTAAACCATTCAGCACTCGTGCGCTCTCCAGAGAGCACACTCAACAATTGCCCCATTGTAAAAACAAAAATGCACAGCATGATCAAACATTTAATTACATATTTTTTAAAAAACTAAGTAAAAAAATTCCCCTCTCCACCACTCAAATAAATTAAAAAATCCTCCCTCCCACAAGAGTCACCTAAGAGGGGAATTCACCCCATTTTCAAAAATGAAACTCAGGCCCTGAATGAATGTCTGTAAAAATCCTGATTGGAGTATCACTATAAATAATTCTACATGTTAAAAAGAAGCCTTTTTTTATCATGTAGATAAAAACTGAGATAAAAAAGTCCCTCTAAAACAGAGAGGGACACTCTCTTTTAGGAAAAATCACGCCCGCTCCCTGAGAAAGTCAATATATTAATTTTCTTAAATAAAAATATCTAGAGATGCCAGAATTCTCTATTACATTCTGTTGTGCTCCTATGCACATGATGTTCCAATATGTTGTGCTATGGTATGCTGAGGAAATCTCTTTCTCTCTCTCTCTCTTTAAAGGGCCTTTTTATTTTAAAAATGTGCTTTATGTGCCTTTGGCATTTGTAGGCATTTGTAAACTGCAGTAATAAAATAACTTGAAATTTTCAACATCTTTTTACATCATTTATTTTTGCACCAAATTATAGAGAGTAGTATGGATAACTGTATCGATAAGCAGTATCTTATCGGTATCGATAAAATGTAAATGATACCCATCCCTACCTCGGAATCGATTGCAAAATCCACCGAGGGGGGCCCCTCCTGGACCACTAGCTGAGGGCCCCCAAAACACTAAACACGCCCCTGATGAGAACACTCCCATGAATGGAAGAAAATTGTTATTTGAATAAAGTTGTTATTTTAGTTCTCGTAGCTTCATAAAATTTAAATTAGTCCTGATGTCACATGGACTATTTTAATTATGTCCTTAATACCTTTCTGGGCCTTGAACATGGTAGCTCTCTTGCAGTCTATGGAGGGTCAGAATGCTCTTGCATTTCATCAAAAATTTCTTAATTTGTATTCCGAAGATGAACAAAGATCTTACGGGTTTGGAATGACATGAGGGTAATTAATGACAGAATTTTCATTTTTTCCCTTTTAATGATAAAAGTCTCTTACCAGTCTCTCCACTTCTTGTTCCCGCAGTCTTTCATCCCTCTGTCTCTGATGGTAATCTTGAAGCTCCTCCTTTCCACTGAGAGAGCTGATGCTGCCCTTTCTCTCCCTGAAGCCACTCGGCGGACCCAGGCCTGCCTTTCCGAACGACTGCCTTCTCTCCCCGAGGCCAATCTCCAGAGCTGGTGAGGGACCACGCATGGCTTGCCTGTCCACTTCCGAGTAACAGCTGGTGGATGTCAAACTCACCTTCTTGGCCTGGCGGGGGCTGGTGGCTTCTCCCAATGTCATGGTGACATCTGGTGGGGCTACGGTGTGTTTGGTTCCAGGTTTATTGGACAGCGAGATAGAGACCAATTCAGAATGACCATTCTGGTGGTTGGAGCCAGTTGGGCGAGAAAGCTGGCCATCAGGAGACCGATAGCTTGGTGGGAGAGTGAGTTGAGTGTCGGCAGGTTGATAGAGGCGTGGTAGGGAGCGACTGTGCGAGCTCATGCCTGTAAGTGACCCAGCGGAGTACTTTCTTTGCCGTGGAGTGGGTTCGAGTCCTCCATTGCGGCCTGCATCTGGAGTGTGGAATCTACGAAACAGACGAGGACTAGAAGGCATGCTGGCTGCACCACTACCGCCCACTGGCGTTGGCGGGAGGGAATCGGTCACACCGTTGGATGAACCATTCCACATTGAGAGGGCTGAACCTGAAGTCCCAGCACGACAACTGTCTGGTGTATTGAGGAGGAGACTATCCTGAGATTGGTTCTGGGTCATGAGTCGAGAATAAGGAAGTGATGTGTCACGCTCTCGAGGGTCGGAACGACGAGGAGATGGAGGCATGCTGCTGGATGAATGTGCTGGTACTTTGGCAGCAAGTGGTGGCCTTTCGGAGCTGTACAATCG